CAGTAGTCACATATGCAATAGTCACAGGTGCAGTAGTCACATATGCAATAGTCACAGGTGCAGTAGTCACAGGTGCAATAGTCACAGTAGTCACATATGCAATAGTCACATATGCAATAGTCACATATGCAGTAGTCACACATGCAATAGTCACAGATGCAGTATTCACAGGTGCAGTAGTCACAGTGCAATAGACACATATGCAGTATTCACAGGTGCAGTATTCACATATGCAATAGTCACAGGTGCAGTAGTCACAGTGCAATAGGTGAGATACTTGGCTCGTTTTTCCCTTTTGATTCTTTATTTCCTGTTGAGATTTCCTTCAAATTCCCATGATGTTGGGCTTCCTTGTCTACTTGCCATCTGACTTAAGACCTTTTTTCTGACTGTAGATTTATTCGTGTGGACCCCTAAGTACTTCATAGTTGTTAAACCAGCACTTACGTTTGAGTCTCTATTTCTTGGGTTTCAAAATCTTGGTTTCCTGTATTTATTTTACATTTACAATTTAAATGTTCTGAGAGTAGTCAAGTTTCTTTTATTCTCTTTAAAAACAACACACATAATATTTATTTTTTAAATTTAGATATAAGATGTCTATGTATTGAACCCTAAAAGAACTTCAGCCCCTCCTAGCTTATTACAAGTTTAATATTGACTTTAGAATATTCTTGTTCTATTTTGAGACAGGGTTTCATGTCACTCAGACTGACTTTGAATTTGCTATGTAGCTGAGGCTAGCTGTGAATTCTTGATTGTCCTGTCTCTACCTCCTAAGAACTGGAGTTATTATAAGCATGTGCCACCACACCCAGTTAGAATGCTTTTAATATACCACTATTAACATATATGCCCACAAATACATGTATATATAATACAAATGTTTTGTCAAGGCAAATGAGTTACCAGTTAGTAACATGGGAGAATCAGAGGACCTAGATCTAATAGAATCTAAAAAACAAAACAAAACAAAAAAACAAAACAACAGAGCACATTAATGGGAATCAGGAGATCGCTCCCCATTTTCCTCAGTGCTGTAGCCCATGTCCCATACCCATAATTAAACTCATTGGTTTAACAGTAGCAACAAAAGACCTGGAGGTAGAAGGGGAAGGGATTGATTGGTAAGAGTGTTCAGAACACTCTGGGGAAGGGAACAAGGGAAGGGTAAGGCAGGTGATTACGGTTGACATATTGTGTATGTGTGAAATGTCACAGTGAAAACTATGTGTCTGGGTTCCTTTTTCCTTATTGGGTTATTGGTACAGAATCAGGCTGTTCTCCCTGAAAAGCTGTGGATTTTCACAGCTCAACCATTTTTGTTCATTTTTTTCCCTCCAGAATTTCAAAATGTCTTGAAGACTTTTTCTAAGATGAAAGATGGTCGTGTAGCCGTTGATGAAGTGGCTGCTTTTTTGGATAACATGGCTATTCCAGTAAACCCTGAGACACTCAAGGACATAATAAATCACTCTTACATGGACAGTGAGTTATTTGAATTTTGCTGATTAGTTCTGCTACACATTATTTGCCTCCATGTCTTCGTTTCTCTTTTGATTTTACCCTTTGCTACTGGTACTGCTTATAGATATCAGTAGTAAAAATTAGTGTATAAAACGCATGAGAAAATTCTAAAATTATTCTATTTTGGTATATTCCCCCAAAGTTAAGAATAAAATGAACTTTAAAAATTTCAGCATTGCCAGGTATGGCATCATAACACTTTTAATTACAGCTCTTGGGAGGCAGAGGTAGGCAGACTTCTATGAGTCAGAGGCTATTCTGGTTTCTGTGAGTTCCAGGCCAACCACAGATAGTCACATGGTGAGACTCTGTCTTAAAAACAAACATCTTAACATTGGGGTGGTGAAAGAGCGCAGTTGGTGAAGTGCTTATTGTCTTGTTGTCATGAATACTTGACCACACACATGTATGTGTATATATATATACATATGCACATACACAATAAAAACAAATTAGAAATTCAAATCTTAAAACATTCAGCTTCATCTCATTTTCAATGGTCACTTCCTGTCTTTATAGATGGGTCATTTCTTATAGCAGGAAGGAGGAGTGTTGACTTCAGAAATGAGGAGACACACAAATCTTGAATTCCCAATTTTATTATGTAGTTTTGACTAAAATTCCCTATCCTGTTTGATTATTCTCTATGCAACATAGCTTGATTTAAAATATTGTAAGGCTATATGAGAGGTTCTTTATTATGCTAACATTTGACCAAAGGATAGCCTACAATAATAGATTGGTTAGTGACTGATTAAATGATTTAGTCCTTCAACAAGCTATTTAGTTATTTAATATCTACTGTGCCTAGAGTAATGATAGGTAGAATAAAGATGGATAAAATAGTTCTATTGTGGAGAGGACCATGATTATAGATTATAATGCTCTGTGGTAAATGCCTATAGTGGGGTGTTTGTAGGTTGCCATTGGAAGTACCAGGGAGAGATTAGCAGAGAAGGTGATGTCTGAACTAAATACTGAAGGATCAGTAGAGTTAACTGAGTGAAGTGCTGGTGAAGAATGAGAGAGACAGTGTAGGGTGGTACAACAGTTTGTATAAATATGGCAGAAAAAAATCAGATAATATTTTTAAGTGGGCTCCACTGGCTTTTGTCATTTTCTAGGGGTGACTTTGTAGTGGTTTGAAGATAGAACCTAGCTATGTATAGTTCCATGGGTTTGTTATTTATTTGTTTGGTTTAACATTTTAAAAAATTTATTTGAGTCATTTTGCCTGCATATAGATATATGCACCACACGCATGCCTGGTTCCCACAGAGGCTAGGAGAGGGATCATATCTCCTGGAACCAGAGCTACAGACAGTTGTGAGCAGTTGTGGGTGCTGGGAACTGAACTTTAGTCTTTTGCAGGAGCAACATGTGTTCTTAACTGTTATCTCTCAAGACCCGGGTCTTTTTGGTTTTGAAGCAGGATCATTCTCTGCAACTCAGACCTGCCTAGAACTCATTTTGTAGCCTAGGCTGGCTTTGAACTTGTGGAAATCCTTCTGCTTCAGCCTCCCAGAACTGTAGGTTATTATTTATGATGAGCTCTTGGATGGTAGATGTGAGTAGTGTTCGTAAAAGTGGAGATTTTAAAAGACAAGTTTCAAGCCATATCATTTGATAGTCTTTAGTGTATACCTTACCAGGAGCAACAGGTTATATGTGAAACTATCGCAGACCCTCGTGTTTGGTTTATGGTTTTGTCAGAACAGAAATAAAATATCACACAACCATTACAGTGGAATTTATGTTCCAAATTGCTTTTGTAACATTTATGTCTCAAACCTAAGCACTAAGTGTGCAAATATTAAGTCCATTTTCATCAAGCTTTTTTTTTTTTTTCATATGTGTGTATGTGTCTAAGCAAGAGGTTGAATTTGGGTATCTTCCTCTATGGCTTTCCTTTTATTGTTCTTAGAGAAAAGGTCTCTCACTGAGCCTACAGCTTGTCATTTTGCTGAACTAGCTGGCTGGTGAGGCTGGGGATCTGCATGTCTTCATCTCCTCCAGCTCTGGGCCCACCGGTGTGCATTGCTCAGCCTGACTTTCACGGGTGCAGGGTGTTTCACCTCAGGCCTTCATGCTTCCTGCAGCAAGCACTCTACCCACAGAGCCCTCTCCCCAGTCCCATGCTGTTGCTCAATATTTTACCCTCAGTATTTAGAAGGGTGCTTCTAGCACATATAACTGCGAATACATATGTGTTGAATTAATAATTAGGATCTTTTTGTTCCACCCCCTCCAACCAATGAGGTGTTTTTTGTCATGTTAATAAGTTGGCTAAAATTTAAACAAAATAATTTCTTCTAAAGAAGGTCCTTAGAGCTTGGGAGATGGCTCAGTGGGGAAAGGGCTTACTTTATTAAACATAAGGCTTGAGTTTGGATTCCCAACACCCATGTAAAAGCCAGGCACGTGTACTTGTAATCCCGGTGATGGTGGGTAGGGATGTGGAGACAGGCTTATCTTGGGAACTTGCTGGCCAGTCAGTCTAGAAAAAAATGGTGAGCTTTAAGTCTTGTCCCCCCAAAATAAAGTGGAGAGCAATAAAGGGAGACATTCTAATGTCAACCTCTGATGTCCACACATGTATGCACAGGCATGCTCATCTGCATACACATGTACCCCCCCACACACACACACAACAAACACACACAACATCACAAAGAAGATCTTTGTCTTTTACCTATTAAAATAATCTCTCTGTGCTGGGGGTATTGGGGTTTGAACCCAGGGCCTCAGGCATGCTAGATAAACACTCTGCCAGTTCCATACCTCCCAAACCCATGAAAACCGTCTTAAAGGTATATTTGATGCTGAGAATTAAAAATCAATGGGGAGGTTCCTAACCTCAGCAGAGAAGCAAGTTAAAGTTTCCCAATGAGAAAATAACAGGAATTTGGTGCAGAGTACTGGCTCAGTACTATAAGAAGACTGATGGAAAAGTGGAGGGGTAGCGACCTAGCAATTGATAGAGAATATCCACACAACCTCAAACTGTAGCATAATTGCTTTTTGTGCTTTTCTCATTAATTACAAATAATTGGTTAAAGGAGAAAGGCCTATAGGTTGTGTGTTGGCTCTCCCTGAGGTAGAGAGATGACAGTGTATAGATACTGATGTGAGGTCAAAAATCTATGGGAGCTGGGTGTGGTGGCACATGCTTGTGAGCCTAGCCCATGCCTGTGAGCCTGGCACATGTCTGTGATCCCAGCACTTGGAAGATATAACCAAGAGGGTTGCTGTGGTTTAAGGACAGCATGGACTATACAATGAGTTCCGAGTCAGCTTGGGCTATAGCCTGAGATATTATCTCAAAAACAAAGCCAAAACAATCTTTGGAGTAGAAAATTTGACTATGGAAGTACAAACTGCTCAGAAACCTTCAGCATTTGGGTAGATACTGATTTTTTTTTATAGTATGTGGGGTCTCGGCTGTTTTGCTTAAATTTTAAGGGAGATAATGACTTTAGGGAACAAAGATTTGGACCACCCACTTGTGCTACACATATAGAGGCACTGACGCTTTAGATGTGCTTCTAGCATCTCTGACTTTGTGCTGTTCTTTACAGCCTTTGGGATATTTTGTTTATTAAAAATCATTTTTAAGTGATAGGAAGTAGATATTTTGCTAAAAATTGGGGAAAATAATTGAAATACACAGTCTCCATTCTAGAAATTGAGACAAAGGAGTAAATACTTGAAGTAATATCTATAGTAAATCCTATTAAATTTTATAAAATGTTAATCTGATTGTTTAGATACTTAAATTGTTTCCTTTGATAAAGAAACTTTTATTAAAGGGAAAACTGTGCTCTTAATTTTATACTTCCTTGTGCATCGAATTATAAATGAACAATTCCAGATAGTCTTCAGAATTCATAATGGCTGGCTCTCTGATTCCACCTGCATACACTTTTGAATCATATTCATATTCTGTTCAGGTTGGCAGCTATATGTGTGTTCAAAAGTAAATAGAAGTACTTTAAGTTACTCTTTCTATTACAGGTAACCACACGGTGGATATTGGGGACATTATATTTACTCTGGATGAACTGCAACAACAATATGAAGATGTTTGTAAGGGACCTTTGTGGCTATAAGTTTTGTTTATAAGTAATCTTTAAGTTAACTCCTAGCCCACAGTTTTTAAATCTTATAATGGATATTGAGCCTCTTCCCCTAACCATCTATCTACTCAGGGAGACCAAAATAGAACATTTTGTAAGAACATCTTTGTAATAGAACTTTCCCTGACATTAGTTCCTTATATGTGTACCATCTCCCATAAATGTGCACTTACATGCATGCACACACACACACACACACACACACACACACACACACACACACAAATCTATAGTGATGATATAAGTGAGTTACATACCATGAATTATAGTATTAGACTAATCTGAATTTGTGCACTTTTATCACTTTTATTGGAGTGTTATAGTTTTTTGTGTCTCTTTGTTACTAATTAGTTCTTTTTGATACAGGATCTCAAGACACAATGTTCTCAAACTTACTGTATAGCCAAGTTTGACCTTAAGCTCCTGATTCTCTTACCGGTACCTCCCAAGTGCTAGTTATGGGTTTACTATGGCATCATGCCTGACACCCTTTGGCATTTTTCATAAGATAGGATTGATAGTATTGTTTCTGTTTGTTTCTGTTTGTCTGGGACAGTCTTTGCATTTTGCTTTGAAGAGACAGCATTGCTGAATAAAGTATCTCAGTTGCAGTTGTTTTCTATATCACTGAATGTATCATGCCATTTTTCCTCACCTATAAAGTATCAGCTGAAATGTGATGTTTGCTGTTGAAGGTTCCTTATATATTGTTTTCTTTTGCTGTTTAATGATCCTCCTTTTGTATTTGCTGTTTGGTTGTTTGCTTGCAACAGGTCTTGATGGCATCTTGTTTGGGTTGAATCTCATTGGAGTCCCCAGACTTTCTTGTACTTGAATATTTTTATATTTCCCAAGATTTAGAGGTTTTATTTTTTTTACTATTTAAAAAAATATTCTCTCTCCAATGACTTCTTGAGTCTTGCTTTCTAAAAAAAAATGTTGATTTATTTTTAATGATGTGTATGTGGTGGTAGTTGTGGGTAGATATGTGTACTTGAGTGCATTTTGCCTGCAGAGGCCAGAGGTGTGGGATTCCCCTGAAACTGGAGTTACAGGTGGTTGTGAGCCATCTAATGTGGGTGCTGAGAATCAAACTTGGGTCCTCTGGAATAGGTCCTCTGGAATGTGTGCTCTTCAGAGCTGAACCATTTCTCTATTCCTCCTACTCTTATTTTTTTATGTAAACTTTTTACCTCCAAATTGTCCTTCTTTATTCTCACAAACTCCCTATAAATTTGAGTATTTTCTTTTAGCCCTGTTCCACATATCCAATAAGTTTTCTTTGTTCTTTTTCATTATTTGTTCTTAGGATTGCATATTTTAGTTTCTGTCTTTGAGATTTTTTCTAGTTGATTTGTTCTGCTTTACATTGTTATATTTTTCATCTCATTCACTACATTTAAGTTCCAGATTTCTTAATCTTATAAACTGAATTTCTCTGTTAAATTTGTAATTTTGAATATTACCTTTCATGTGGAATAGAGTTAGTTTTCTGTGTATTATGAAAATTTGTTTTGAAATATTTGTCAGACAGTTTGTATGTTTACATTTCTTTGGAGTCAGATAATAAGAGATTATTGTCTTCTTTTGGTCATGTTATATAATTTTCATGCTTCTTGCTGCTTTATGTTGATGTTTGTACTAGAAACAGGCCTTTTCCAAGTTGACTTCTGGAAAAGCCATTTGAAGGTAGTCAGCCTATCCAGATAACAGGCAGGCTATTTTATGTGGTCCAAATTTCAAAGTAGAAGTCTCAAAGATGTTCTAAAAAGTTTATATCATTTTATGAACTACTGTTTTGCTATCATAAATGTATGTACATCAGTGCATGCCTGGTGCCTACAGAGGCCAGAAGAGTAGGTAGGATCCCTTGGAACTGAAGTTAAGGATGGTTGTGAACCACCATGTGCTAGAAGCCAAACTTGAATCCTCTGCAAGAGCTGTAAATACTCTTAACCTCTGAGTCATCTCTTCAACCTTCAAAAATTTAATTATTATTAATTTACTATAACTCATTTCTCCTCATTAGGTGGCAGCTAAAGACTTATACCATCATCCTTAATGACTTTTAAAGATTTAGAACCTAAATATTTTCTTCAGATTATTCTCATACAGATCAAACTATGAAATGTTTCTATTTTTTAGAAGAAATGGCTTCATATTCAAGATTATATTTTTGCTCTGTAAAATTGTTGTATTTTCTCTGATTGTAGGCATTTGGCAATCTGTAGATATAGTGAATCTTTCTTGCCAGACTTTCTTTGGGATCACCAGCTTCCCAATAATGACACAGAAATTTCTTATTAGTTATGAAAGCTTGACCTTTAACTTAGGCTTGTTCCCAACTAGCTCTTATAACTCAAAATAACATGTTTCTGTTAATCTATGTTCTGCCACATGGCTTTTTATCTCTCCTCCATTCTGTAGTCTGACTTCCTCAGTGTCTGTCTGGCATCTCTAGTACACCTAGATACTAGTCCTGAGTTTCTCTCTCTCCCCAAAAGCCCTGCCTATTCTCTCCTGCCTATTTATTGGCCATTTAGCTCTTTATTAAATCAATCACAGTGACACATCTTCACACAAATACAAATATTCCACAACATTTCCCTCTTTTTGTCTAAATAAAAGGAAAGGTTTTTAACTCTAACACAGTAAAACTATAAACAATAAGAACAATTACCAAGTAAGAATTACATGCACAATGTCCAGTCCATTTGTATTTGGCAAATTTGGAGAAAATACTCTATTATCTATTCTATCTTCATGAATCCAATGTTTTATACTTTACCATTTTCTATTATAACTTATATTACCAACCTAAAAATATCCTTTTAGACCTTAAAACATTTTCTTAGATAAACAATTTAAGCTTTTATGTTTTTCAACCTTATTAATTTTATAACTACTATTTAAGTTTCTTTTCTAATTTTGGTAACAAGGAAAACTGTAAAACTATATTTATTCTTCAACCTCATCAGAGACCTGAGAAGGATAAAATATTACCTGAGTAAACAGGAAGTGCAGAGCAAGCAGCTTCTAAAACTATAGAAATGACAGAGATATCTGGCTGCTTGGACAGTCCCCCAAGGTTCCTCTGAAACATTTGGGCATCCATCTTAGACCTACAGGCCTAGAATATCTGGCAGACTTTTTGTGAAGCAGGAATTTTGAAGGACTATCCTACCTTGTCTTAGCAAAGTTTGTCAGCCACTTCCCTTTGTGTCCTGCTTGTCCAATTTGTAGAACATACTGTCAGCAGTCAAGGCAAGGGCAGTTTCTTGCCCAGTGGCTAAATTTGCCACAATGAAAGCAAACTCCATATGGAGGTTCTTTGATACCCATCATCCATTTTTGAAGTAACTGGTGCTGCCAGGAGCAGATGTGTTTCACTGTCATGAAGCCTTATGTTATTAAAACACCTTAAATGCTATATTCTGTAGGCCTCTGAAGTGTTTTTTTTTTTGGTTTTTCGAGACAGGGTTTCTCTGCGTAGCTTTGCGCCTTTCCTGGAACTCACTTGGTAGCCCAGGCTGGCCTCGAACTCACAGAGATCCACCTGGCT